AGACGGAAGGATCGCTCTGCAGAAGTTCGACATGAGTGTAACACCAAACGCCGTGGAACGAATCCTCCTCGTGAACAAGGACGGCTCGCCCGCAGCCCCGGGAACTCTTGCCGGTGGGGACAAGGTGAAGCGAGTAGTCATCGATGACTGGTCAAAGTACAACGACACACTTGCACCTACAGTTACACGGAACGGTTACTCGTTAGCACAAGGCGAGGATGGCACCACCGTTGCAAGTGGTGGCAACCCCGATGAGCCCATTGCTGTCTTCGACGCGAAGGAGAACGCATGGATGAACGCGACAGCGCTGTTCTCTGGACAAGAGATCCTTGTGAACTCGATATCATCTTCAAGCGCATCATCGACACCGACCGCGACTGCGTCCGTATCAGCGACGCCCAGCGCCAGCACCACAGAAGCAGTCGGCCCACCACCGGCTCCCCCTAGCAATAAGGGAAAGATGTTGACTGTACTTGGCGCTACCCTGGGTACGATTTTTGGCATCGCTGCTATCCTTATTCTCATTCTGTTCTGTCTCAAGTACAGGAAGAACAAGAGCAAGCAGAACCCAGGCTACATCGAGAAGAACGACCGCATGAGCTTTGCGGACCGCGGCGCTGCTTTCATGAAGGAGGCAGGTGGAGCTGTCGTAACTTACCAGCCAAAACACAATAACGACTCTGTCACATCGCTTGCCATCATCCAAGGACGTGGTAGCAACAACGGCCACAAGAAGAATGTTGCGAGCGACGCCAGCACAGCAGGACTTGTGAAGAAGAGCAGTCCGCTTGGCTACTCTGAAGGTTACAACGAGCCCTACGAGCTTGCCAAGTTTGACCTCAAGCCAGAGCCTGTCGAGCCCATGGTTCGTCAGAACTCCAGTCGGAACAAGCCTGCACCAAGAGCACGTAGCTCAGGTTGGAGTCGGTACTTCGCCAACAACGAAGCTACAAACCTTGCAAGCGCACCACCTGCTGATCGTTCTACCTTCGCGTCAGACCGAACAAGTACCGCCAGCCAGTCACAATACACCAACTCGCGCATGTACAGCTCGCGTCCATCACAACATATCGCTCCATTAGAGATCCCTAAGTTCAACGACGGGCAGCGTCTAAGCCGAGTCGCCAGTGGAAGTCCAACGCTTGGAACCCCCAACAGTGTCATTCCACATGGTGTTCAGCCCATGCAAGCAGAGCTCGCTCGCGCCAACTCAAATGCCAGCACAGTATCTGCTCTCAGCCACGACGGTGATCACTACCTACGCCACCCCGTAGAAAGCTGGACTCCAGTAGGCGACGATCGACGGACGAGCAGTCAGTACACTGGTAGCATGGTCATCGACTCTAACAAGTACGATGGCGCTAGCTCGTATTACCCTGACGGCACCGATTCATTCTACCCCAAGAGCAACTTCTCTTCCTTCTACCCAGGCCAAGGCGACAACCCATCCACGGTTCCCGACATGCGCGATAGCACGTTCACCATGTTCCCATCAGGCAACGCACCACCCGCACCCACAGAGGAGATGCCCAAGAGCAAGTTCAGCTCGATGTACCCCGTGCCACCACGTCTCGGTCTCCCACAAGATCGCGAGAGCACAGCAACGGTGTTCCCAGGTGGTCCCGGTGGTGCACAAGGAGGCAAGGCTGAGGCGGCGCTACCAAGCCCTAAGTTCAACTCCTTCTACCCACCACCCAAAGTCGGACACGAGAGCTCAGCAACCCTCTTCCCCGGCCCAGGTCCCAACCAAGGCAACGGAAAGGAGCAATCAGACATGTCATGGCTGAACCTCGGGCAAAGCAGATAAAGTCCTCGAGTTTGAACTTAGCCTTGTCACGCCTATAATGAGCCCATGCTCCCACCCGTCTCTACCTCGACCATACACATCACCTCCATCCTCTCTCTCGAAAAGCAGCATCACTTAGCGAACGCATCATCACCACCCTGTACAGCAGATCTTTCTTTCTCGAGCATAGCATTCATCAGCGCCGGGCGTCTCTTTCCAAATCCCCCTTGTTCACCAACGCTAGCCGCACAAAAGCCGATGTCAGCTTTTGGCATTCAGTCGCTACAGATACCCGACGCCAACCTCCTCACAGCGCGTCAACCCGTCATACCTCCCACAACCGCCTACCTACCTACCTCCACTCTCTCCTCTCGAAACAGAAGAGTCTCAGTTGTAAATAGAACGCCACCTCTTACCCCACACCCCAACCCACCACTTTCTTTTCTCATACACTCTTTTCTTTTCCCACCAAACCTCGTTTCCCTCATATCTCTTTTTTTCCCCTCACACAACATACTTTTCGACTTGGTCTGTGTCCAAATGTTATCTTTGGAAATGCCCACAGTATCTTGTTGATGATCGTCGTTATTGTTGTTGTTGATGTTGTTCGTTGTTGTTGTCTCAGATCTACGGGTCTGGATATGTTTTTGCTTGTTTTGAAATGGCGTCGTCGTGCAAGATGGTTGGAAAGATTTCCTCGCTGTCTTGGATTCCTCTTGTTGTGTGTAGCTCGCTTGTCGAGTGGGGGAAGTAGGGACGGAGGGAAGAAGGATGTTGGACTGGCTTGACCCCTGGATGTGCTGGGTTGCTGGTGCGAGGGAAACGTCTATTGTTGACGTGGTGGCTGAAATGGTGGATTGGATCGGACGTTAATACTTTAATGAAAGAAGCGAGTGTCGTACCAAATCATTTTCGTCTGCTTGTGATGTTTGCATTTGTGAAGGAAATGTGTTGATACATGAACTATGTCCTAGTCAGCTGTCTGGTTCCAATGGTCAAGCGTACAGTCAGCTTGCGTGGTAAGCCCATCCAACATCGTTTACCCTGGATCTTCACATGGACATGTACACTAGACGCAAACTGGCTGGCATGCCCTAATCATTACATCTCGACCAAGCATCAAAAACCGGTATTTGTAGAGAAGAGCGTGTGAGATCGCATCGTTCAGATATCTCTCGGGTCTCTCGGGCGAGATCTGAACGATGCAATCTCACACGCTCTTCTCTACGAATACCTTGCCAAGTCCATAGTCTAAAAGTCTATCGCTCCACAAACCACCAACCTTCCAAACTCATATAACGCCACCAATACACAACCCTCTAATTAACAACCCTCTTCATCTGCGCCGCCTGCCTCGGCTCAATAAACAGCGCCTCTGCCTCCGTCAACACAACACCCTCCTTCTCCTCACTCCCCAGCGTCATCAACCGTCCCTTAACCCACGCCTTCCTGCCCTCAACCTTTGTCGTCTCCGCCCGTAGAACCACAATCTGCCCCGCCATACACGGCGCCTTGTAATCGATCTTCAAACTCGCCGTCACACCCACTTTATTCGGCAGCGCGGGGAAACAGCATCGTGCTAGTCCTTCGTCGAGGAGTGTGGCTAGCAGGCCACCGTGGACGATACCGGGGTGGCCGCACAGCGCTTCTCCCAAGTATTGCAATGATACGAATTCAGAGCCGTCGGCTGTGCTGAATTGGATTGGGGGAACGGCGATTTTGTCGGGGCCGAGGAGTGTGCCTCCCGTCAGGTTCTGCGCTCTCAGTCCCTCTGGTATCTTGAGATGCGGCCTTGACGCAATGTATTTGGGGTCTTCCAATAACGATTTCGTGAGGGGATGGTCGAATATGCTTCGTTCTATCTCGGCAATGGCTTCTGTGCTGGGCGTGAAGAGTTCGAGTGTTTCGGCATCGGTGGGCGGGTTCGCGAGGTCTTGGAGGGAAGCCATGGCGGGGAAACCGGCGATTACGAAGCCGCTGGTGAGAGTGAGGAGGGTGAGAGCGAGGGCGATGGGAATGCGGATATAGAGTGGTCGTTTGGGGGGCTGGGATGAGGAATTGGGTGGTGGCGGTGGTGGTGGTGATGTGTGTTGTGAGGTTTGCGATTGTTCTGCTGCTATGGAAATGTTAGTTTACTAAATTCTTCTTTCTCGAGTCTTCCATAACTATAGGACATGGAAGTCAATCCAGACAGGAATTGGAATGAAAACTTACAAACACTACTCGTCCACCTAACAATCCGTATCCTATCTGCTAACCCACCCCCAGCAGGCCCTCTCTGCCCTTTTATACAACCCGGGCGGACTTCGCGCAGCGGGGCCAATGCTCTGTATGCCCCGAAACCTAACACTCTGCTACGACCCACATGCCCAGATAAGGCAGACCTTGCGGATATCATACTTACGTAGTAGTCAGACGCCTAGACTTTGAAGCAGAGACTTTTTTTCTTTCGGCTAGGCTAGAGGGTAAGTCGGCGGTGAGCACGGTTTGGTAGTACAGTCGGAGGTTCCGCGTATGCGCGCGCGTTCGGTCCCTGAGCTCGGACGCTGCGGAATAGGAAGTGCCGAGGTTCAGAGGGTGGGATGTTGTTGGCTGCAAGGGCGAGGGAAATTTGGGATAATGGTCGCCAAGGTGGTGTACTATTCATGGGTTTTGTCATGGAGTGTGTTTGCATCTCTTGGTGCGTACTTCGGCCGATGATAATGAATTAGCTTATGGCGTAGGTGCCCCTTTATGTCGAACGGGTTGTCGTCGATGCCCGCCCATGTATGCTGTCGACTCAAAACTCCTCCCAATGTACATCAGGAACTGTACATCACGATGAAAATAGCTCGAGACGATGTATCATGTGTGACTTGAGATTTGATTATCTCAGTTCTGTCCTTGGAAACTAGTTCCACTTGCTTTACACGTGGTATTTCCACTCCACCAATCCATCAAGTCATCATACTATACATACAGAGTAGAGAAGTGCGTCATGTAGAACGCCATACTCATCTACGGCGTCCGTCTATCCACTTCCATGACCCAGGTGACGAAACATAAAACCTCGGTATAGAGGCCAAGGACTACAAAAACAGAGCAACAACTGTCTTTTTGGACGCCAAAGATGCAGCAAGAACATAACCACCAACATTAAGATGCGGTGAGAAGGTAGTGTAATCGTACAGGGTGGGACGCAGATGGAATAAAAAAGAGATTAGTAGCGAATCGCTCAGTAGTAATCCCTGGCACTCTTCTGCAGCTCGATCAATCTCCATCCTCGTGTCTCGGGGTTGTTGACGTCTTCTGGTATCCTGGTGACACCAATGGCGTATGTGACTTGCTGGACCTTGTCGTCCATGCCGGAGGCCAGTTCTCCGGACTTGGCGTTGCGGTAGACGTGCACTTCTTGTGTTCTGCAGGTAAGGATGAAGACGGGGATCTCTCCTGGCTCCAGCAGTTTCGCGTTCAGGACGTCGACGCCACGAATGTCGACAATCTTTCCGTCAGACTTGAGGCCAGCGGCCTGGTATTGTTGCATCAGCGCTGCGTATACTGAGTATTGCGCTGCTGATAGCCACTCCTTCAAGACGGCAATGTCGCCCTTGACGTATGCGTCCAGGACTTCTGGGAGTATGTATTCGCGCATCTCGGTCAGGAAGGGCTCCATTTGGAAGTTGGGGTCCATTTCTCTGAATCGCTTGATGACCATGGCCGTCTCGTTTTCGGCGAAGAAGCCGGTGATGCGGTCGGAGATACTGCGAGCGGTCTCGATGATGGCGTTGTCGGACTCCCTGTAGACGGTCTTCATGTTGAAGAAGCCTTGGGCAAGCTTGGAGTTGTCCTTCCATTCTCTCCAGACTTCCTTGTACTTGGCGTCTTTGTGAAGGGTAACGTTTGTGCCAGCACTGCTACTTGTTAGTCAAAGGTCCTCATATTCTCAGAGATGCCTTACTTTGGGTCCTCCTCCATTGGGCCCAGGGGTTTACCGCCAGTCCGCTGGAGTTCGTTGAGTTCGCGCAGCTCTCGCCTCTTCCTGCGCTCTTCCTTCTCGACCCAACCGCCGTATCTTGACGAGCTGCCATCGTCGATTGTTTCCTTCACAGCTTGGAAGGCCTTGGTCTGTCGGACTGGCCGAGTTGCGTATTCAAGTCCGGTACCAGTGACCCTCGCAGCAGCACGAACGCCCTTGACGGGCATAGTGTCCCATGTCCACGCCGCACCGTGACCAACAGCTGATGCCGTCGCCTTCAATGCCTCTGTGGTCTTTGTCTTGGCAGCTTCAGAGATCTGGCCAGCCTTCTGGACGTTTGGGTTCTGCTGGAAGTCGTGCAGCGCACCACCCAACTGCTTTGTACCCTCGTTCCAGTCTTTCGAGGCCTGGAACTCTTGCTTCAAGGTCTCGGTGAAGACCTGCCATGGTGTCTTGTCGCCGTGGGGTGGAGGTGGGGGCGCATCCTTCTTCTCTTTCTTCTGGCCCTCTTCGCCCTCCTTCTGTTCACCAGCTTCTTCCTCTCCGTCCTTCTTCTCCTTCTTCTCCTTGGCTTCCTCGCCCTCTTTCTTTGCCTGGTCGCCTGCAGCCTGCTCTGAGGTGCTACCCTGGGAGGCTGTTGATTTGGTGGGGTCAGGCTCTTGGTCCTTTACGTCTTTTTGCTTTTGCGCTTGCTCGTACAGGGCGGGCCGAGAAGAGAAGTGGCGGGCGTATGCGGATGACGTGCGGAAGAGGACATCTTGGGGCAAGAATTCGCTGCGGAGGAAGCGTTGGGAGGAGGGTGTGGATGTGGAAGGTAGTGACGTGCGTGTGGAGGAGACTTGCGATGTTCTTGGTAGTGTTGATATCCGTCTATACGATGCAGCTCTTCCGTATGCGCTTGCAGGCGTAGCAGCGGCGGGTTGTATGCTCCATCGCGCAGTGGCGGCAAATGTGCTTGCTGTCTGGGGTCTCATGCTCTGGACTTGCACGCAATTGGATCTGGGTATCAAATTGAGGTAGGACCGGCCCAAGCAGTGAGCGTTGGAAGGTGGGCGCGGCGAAGGTGGGTGAGAAGCATCGCCATCTTTTTCCGAATGCCAAGCCAGACTCGCAACCTTCTGCGACTTTCTAGCAAATCGCTGCATCCCCGAACCTCAATCGGGGCATCTACCGCCTTCAACATGGCCAGCAACACAACTCTACAGACGTTTCGATCCCTCACATGCTCAATTCGCTCATCATGTCGACACACGCAACCCCTGCGACCGTTTTCGCACAGCACACGAGTCCTCGCTGCAACTCCTCCCTCCTTCCGCAAGAGGCCTGAGAAGAGTCTCGACCAGCTGCTCAGCAATGTAGATGAGAACTTCAGTGGCGCAGCCCCCAATCCATACAATTTTATACCCGGCCAAAACCCAAACGACGCTTCTTTCAAGAACCTCGCGCCGCGCGAATGGGACGAAGACGACAAACACAAACTCCACGTTTACGCCACCAAGCACAACACACACTTGTGTCTGACACAGCCAAACCGAAACCCACTGATCTCGGTATCTTGCGGAAACATCGGCTTCAGGAAAGCGGGGCGCGGAACATACGATGCAGCCTATCAATTGGCCGCCTTCCTCATGAACCGCATCCAGGACAAGGGCTTGCTGCCGCAGATTCAGAAGTTGGAGTTGATATACAGAGGGTTTGGCGCAGGCAGGGAGGCAGTCACAAAGGCGATATTGGGTGCTGAGGGAAAGAGGATACGGCCGCTGATTGTGAAGCTGGCAGATTCGACGAGGTTGAAGTTTGGTGGTACAAGGAGCAAGAAGCCGAGGAGACTGGGTTAGAGACTGCTTGTCGAGCACGTGGGGATGGAAATCAGACGAAGTGTACGATGATAGTGGGGTTCACCAGGCGTCATGGGTAGAGGCAATGAGCACTTGGGCATGCATCACAAGAGCAGTGTATAGTGGCCAGGGCATATCAGACCAATTCAAGAGTCATGTCAGATTTTTCGGCAGTGGTGCCCTTTCAGCGGGTGGAATAGTCCGACCACTAGAATCCGTTTCCGCGATGTTGACAAGCCTGGGTGCAAGATTTCCAGCCTCATACCTAATAGGCCCTCTTGCGCTTCCTTGATCACCACGACTACTTCCAGCAGAATAGCCCGCGTTTTCCCAGCCCCTTGCTTCCTCAGTTGTCCGATGGCGTTCTCGTTCTCGATCATGACGTAGCATCGACGCTCCTTCGTCTTCGAACTCTTCGTCAAGCAACTCTCCATCAGCAGTATCATAATCCGGTGGCGCTATCCATTCCCGTGGTACAACGCATGGTAGAGCGACGCCGATGCTAGCGGCACGGTTTAGATAGCTTGGAGCTGGGCGACCCGTGAGCCTCTCGCAGAGGTAGGACGTGAAGTGGTTGCAGTTCTTCGTGAGGAGGTTGTACGATGTTCCTTGGAACTCGTGTGAGGCCTGTAACATGTTAGCTAGTTTCCCGAATACAAACGTCCTGGCATACCTCTTGTATGATAGCCTCTAGTTCTTCCTCAGGTCGGAAAGAGAAGCCATGTAGAATCGCCTGCTTGAACGTGCCGCCCGGGGGTTCTTGCCCAGGCTTCGTCCAGTACACGCCTGTCAGGTCCCGCCGGTCATGTCCGCCATATGCATATTCCCTGTCGCCAATAACAACACCTGTGTGAAGGAGCGAGCTGCCGATTGCCCACAGTACGGTTGCGACCTTGCCGGGCGGTAACAGGTCATAGACGTGTATAGAGACCTCGGTTCTCTGCAGCGACAGCGTGGTCCTATGTTGGCTGGAACTTTTGCGCGACGGTTTTGGACGGGTAGAGGATGACATTGTCTATGGTTGGAGTGATGTATGTACAATCGAGTGTGGTATGTATTGGGGTAGGTCTCTACGTCGGTACCGAATAAGAAGGGTGGGGTATCATAGACGCTGTGAAGGGACGATGTGTGGTACGTAGTGGTACAATGACGGAGGGCGGAGGTCAGTGAATGGGGCCAGCCCTGGGAGTAATATGCGGAGGGACAGGTGTGGGGGAGGAGATGGAGATGGAGGTCGTTGTAGCCATGACCGCCGGTTTGGCGCTCTCGAGAGCTGGAGACGCGGCTTCGGCGCTTGCTGCTTCGAGCAAGCGCTGCACGGACACTGCCCTAGCCACATAAACTTAAGAAAATTCGATTGGACTCGCTGCACCGTCAATTAACCCAGGAAACGCAGGAGAGCGGCTGCTAGGTAGCTCTCCCACCCCTCTATTTCATCACGCCCCCCACCAGGCCTCTCACCTTTTCTTTCTCTTCTCTGATACCCACTTTTTACAACCCGGCAGCAAGCACTGCCTGCTTTTTCCCAGCCTCTTTGCACTCTTCATCTTCCCCCACCAAATTTTTCCTTTCCTTCACTGCAGCTCGCACCTACGCGTCCGCGCCCAAGAAGAAAAAGATGCCTCCCAAGAAGCAGGTCAAGGAGGAGAAGCTCCCGCTCGGCAGGCCGGGAAACAACCTGAAGACTGGTATCGTGAGTGAGAGCCCTCCCTAGCTGGTCTTGTCGCGTTCTCACATTAACAGTGATTGCCAGGTTGGCCTAGCGAACGTCGGCAAGTCGACGCTCTTCCAAGCCATCACCAAGTGCTCTCTTGGTAACCCCGCCAACTTCCCATATGCCACCATCGACCCAGAAGAGTCGCGCGTCATTGTCCCAGATGAGCGCTTCGACTGGCTAGTGGAGCACTACAAGCCCAAGTCGGTCGTACCTGCCCACTTGACCATCTACGATATTGCTGGTCTCACGCGCGGTGCTTCCACTGGTGCTGGTCTCGGTAACGCCTTCTTGTCGCACATCCGCGCCGTCGATGCCATCTTCCAGGTCGTCCGATGCTTCGACGATGCCGAGATTATTCACGTTGAGGGTGACGTCGACCCCATCCGTGACTTGGACATCATCGCCGAGGAGCTGCGCCTGAAGGACATTGAGTTCACCGAGAAGGCACACGCCGCGCTTGTCAAGGAGACAAGGAGAGGCGGTCAGAGTCTGGAGATGAAGAAGCTCAAGGAGGAGCAAGCCACAGTTGAGAAGGTCCTCGAGATGCTCAAGGACGGCAAGGATGTCCGGAAGGGCAACTGGTCGCCCAAAGAGGTATGTACATCTCACTTCCTTTCCCTGCACACCCTGTTACAAGATGACAAAGAGCGATTGCTCTATAATCCCAGCTCTCTGATGGCCCATTAACGCTGGGCTATTCTGAAGTGAAGTCCTTCTCTGATTAACAACACCCCAACCTCGTTACCTACATGGAATACCTGTCGCAAGCTCGTACTAACAGTTTGCTAGGTCGAGCACATCAACCCTCTCTTCCTCCTCTCCGCCAAGCCCGTCGTCACTCTTGTCAACCTGAGCGAGAAGGACTACATCCGCCAGAAGAACAAGCATCTCCCCAAGATCGCCGAATGGGTCAAGACCAACGCCCCCGGTGACCCAATCATTCCTATCTCCGTACAGCTCGAGGAGCGCATCGCCGTCATGTCTGACGAGGAGGCCGCCGAAGAGCTCAAGAACCTCGGTACCAAGTCGGCGCTGCCCAAGGCCATCCAGGTCATGCGCAAGGCCCTTCAACTTGGTAGCTTCTTCACAACCGGTACCGACGAAGTCCGACAATGGACAATAAGGACTGGCACCAAGGCGCCACAAGCTGCTGGTGTCATTCACGGTGACTTCGAGAAGACCTTCATTCAGGCAATCGTATACAACTACGCGACATTGAGGGAAGAGGGTGACGAAGCCACTTGCAAGGCAAAGGGCAAGATCATGACCAAGGGCAAGGACTACGTTGTCGAGGATGGTGATATCCTCCTCATCAAGGCTGGTGCCGCGAAGGCATAGACAGCTTGATGAGTCTTGGTTATGTGTGTATGTGTTTATGATCTACATGCGCATCTTATGATGAGCCATATGAAAAGCAGCTAGACTGCCCTGAATGAATGAGAATAAACATGACCACGAACAAATCAACTTTTCCCCATACTGTGATATGTGACTACTCTTCTATTCTAACATGTTACGCAAAGCTGGAAGACTACTCAGTAGAAGCCTTCACTCAGATCCTTCTCACCCCTCTGCCAGTCTGCCTACTTCGCCTTCCCCTTCGTCTCGACAAGCATCCAGCTATTCCCACAGACACAGTGCTTACTCAACCCGAGCAAGTACTGAGAATGCGCAGGAGTATACCCCGGCAAACCCGGCACAACATCCTCCATACAAGCACCACACCTCGTACACTGCTTGAGCAAATTCTTCTTCTTCCTGCCCTCTCCATTCGCCCCCGCACTCTGAATACTGTCACTCCTCGACCTGTTCCCGCCACCCGTCGCCGACCCCACAGGATGCGTCCACGTGCCCGTGCCCCTGATAATCATCTTCTGACACACATCCACCACATGAGTATCGTGCCAATACCTTGCGCGCTTTGAGTCCGTGAACCCTAACCACGTGGTATCGAAGAACATGAGTCTACCCATGTCGAGCTTATCCGCGAGACAAACTTGCTGCTGCGTGCTTTTCCAGAGGTAATCCGTCACAAGCCGTTTAGCCACTGGAAACAGGATGTCTGGGATTTTCCCGAGGAGCAGTTCGCGCTCGATGCTGTTGCGTTGCATGTCCGTCAAATTGCGCTGCTTGTACGTCCCACGGACGTGGCTCTGCGTCTCGCTGAGCAGCTGTTCGTAGTAGCGGTAGTCAAACGGGATATCTGTTATAGCAGCATAAAGAGGAGCGTATAGTTTCTTCGCTTCAGGTGTTTGCGGCGGTGCATTTGGGTTCCCGGCTGCGGAATTGGGCAGCGTGACGTAGGCTGCTGCGCTGCGCGAGAGCCACGCAATAGGTTGGAACCAGAGTTTCATCATGGCGCGGGGGAAGGCGGACAGGATGAGGAGGAGCGCGGGTTTGTTGAGCTCACGGATTTTGG